GGGGGCGATGCAGCAGGCTGGAGGGGAGGGGCTGACCAGATATTCACCTGGTGACTTTGAGGGGCTCGGGAGATACCCAAGGGGAGACACACAGAATGCAGGAAGCGGCAGAGACCTGGGCTCGGTCTGGGCTGGAACCATCTGGGCATCGTGGGCAGTGGGCATCCACCCAGGCAATGCCGAGCCCAGCCTTTCTGGTGGACAGAGCAGGGGGCATGGACTTGGCAATGCTTGGAGGGCACAGCCTTGCTGGGTGCCCCCACCCCCGGCCCTCTCCCCCCTCGTTCACCACGCCACCCCCAGCCACGGCCAGGACCTGCCCTGATCCCAGGCGCCCTTTGTCAGCATCGTCCTCACTTGGCTGCCTTTCGGCCGTTCCCAGCCCGTATGACAATGTCATCGCCGCGCCAACCGGGGATTAATTGCGCACTATTTCTCGCGGCAGCGTATCAAATCCATTCCCTTTACCCACTAATCAAAAAAGCAATCAAGTTTGTCTGTAGCAATCTGTGTTGTACAAACTCCCCGGGCTTTCTGATCAGGCTCTGGGGTCCCCTGGGGGCTCCCTGGGCTGAGCTTTCCATTTGGGGGCCAGGCTGTGGTTGGAGGGGGAGTCACAGCCTGGGGCTGCGGGATACAGCTGTGTGTGTGTGTGTGTGTGTGTGTGTTTGCACTCGTGTGGTGGGGTGTACGGGGAAGCCTGCCATGCGTCCCGTGTGTGTGTGTGTGTGTGTGTGTGTGTGTGTGTACACAGAACCCGAGAACGCAGCTGGCTATTTATAGGAAGCCCAGGGGGCCTGCGCCTGCAGGAGGAGGCAGTGCCAGCTTCGCTCGGCTGGGGAAGTGAGGCCTGACAGCTTCCCTCTCACATGGCAGTTGAGCGAGGAAGGATTGTAGTTCTTCTTAAATACTCACAATTGCTTTTATGACACTATGGGGCGTTTTTCTCTTCTTAAATAAAAAGGAAGGATAGAATTACAGGGGAAACCAACAGCAAACAGGCGCTCCCTTCACTCCAACACTCCCACAGCGAAAGGGCGTCTTGTCTCCGAAGGGGGCAGGGGCCACGCATCTCCCAATAGACTCAGCTGCCGGGATCCCGTGTGTGCCAGAGGGTCCGCCAGGGCCCGCCAGCCGCCCGCCTCCGTGGGCTGAGGAAGGGCACACCTCGGCGTGGCTTCATTGCCGGGACACTGGGACACAGCTCTCAATGGCTCCATGTGACGTGGCTGATTCTCCATTATCTTTCTGTCTGTCTGGTGCCCCCTGCTTCTCCCTCTCTCTCAGGTACAAGCTCAGCCCTCCTGCCGACCCCTCCATTCTGGGCTTGGGCTCCAGGAAACAGCTGACTTCCCGTCCTGGGCAGACCTGTGCTTCTCCTCCCACATTTCTCCTCCCAGGGCCCACCACCCGGGGGAGCACACCCAGGGGAGCCACGCAGCCTGAGTCCATCT